CCTATCCGGCCGAATGGGATGCAGCCCCTTATCCTCCAAAATTCGAAGTCCCGACGCTACAAATTTTTGACGGCACGGGATCACCGAACCAACATATCTATCATTTCAAGTCACATACTAGAGGGAGTTGTCAGACCCTATCCGGCCGAATGGGATGCAGCCCCTTATCCTCCAAAATTCGAAGTCCCGACGCTACAAATTTTTGACGGCACGGGATCACCGAACCAACATATCTATCATTTCAAGTCACATACTGAGAATGTGATATCAAATGACGCCATACTGGCTCGATTATTCATTGGCACCCTCAAGGGAGTTGCCTTTGAATGGTTCAGGAAACTTCCTGTAGGATGTATCCAAAAGTGGGCAGATCTAGAGAGACTCTTCCTGTCGAGATTCTTTGAAGATGATACAGAAGTCTCCATTCATACCCTTCTCGCCACTAAGCAGAAGAAGAGGAAGTCCGTCAAAGCCTTCGTCAAGAGGTTCCGAACCATGGCTCTCCAGTGTTCGTCAGGTATGACACTAGTGGAGACCTATCGGTACAATTTGCAAACCGACCTCCTAGCCCGAATCGGAGTTGCAGAATGTCGTTCTTGGAGACAACTAATCTCTCAAGGCGAACAGGCTCAAAAGATTATTGCCAGGATCAAAGCTGAAGAACAAAGTAGGCAGGATTCTCCTGAGCAATCGGACCAAGCCCAATCTTCTCCTGAGCAATCGGACCAAGCCCAATCTTTTCAGTCAGAAGAAGAAGATACTACGGCCGCTGAAGTCAATCCTCTCTAGTAGGATGACGGGTCCAACAACTATCACGTTAACAATTACCTCTGATAGTCAAACTCGTTAGACAGTGGCTCACTAAGCAATGTGTCACGTCTACTCTTCCCCCCTGCACTTGTTCAAGACTGGGGGTTGGTTTATTTATAGTCCATTGGATTATAAGTAACAAATTTTCTGAGTTGTCATGTTCAACAGAATACCTCTGTCAACCACAAAATCTACCAAAACTATCACGTTAATGATCACCTCTGATAGTCCATCAATCCCCCACAAATCCTCATCAATAGGATGGCGAGTCCACCAAAACTATCACGTTAACCGTCACCTCTGATAGTCCTTTTCCTCCAAATTCCCCCACAAATCCTCTTCAAGTAGGATGGCGGGTCCACCAAAACTATCACGTTAATGATCACCTCTGATAGTCCTTTTCCTCCAAATTCCCCCACCAATCCTCTTCAAGTAGGATGGCGGGTCCACCAAAACTATCACGTTAACCGTCACCTCTGATAGTCCTTTTCCTCCAAATTCCCCCACCAATCCTCTTTAAGTAGGATGGCGGGTCCACAAAACTATCACGTTAACAGTTACCTCTGATAGTCAAACTTACCAGATAATGGCCTACCAGGTGATGTGCCTCTATTCCGACTTCATGGATAGTGCCTCACTAGGTGATGTGCCTTGTCTACCTCTTTTTATTCCCCTGCTAAGTTTTAATCAAGACTGGGGTTGGTTACTTGGAATCCACTGGATTAAGAGTAACAAATCTTTCACATCGTCAAGTTAATATTACACTTCTGACGATCATCATCCCCACAGAGTATGCATTCAACTGGCATCGCTCCAATTTGTCACATTAACAATATACCTCTGACAATCAACTTATCAATCCTCTTCAATAGGATGATAGGTCCTCAAAATTGCTCAAATCGCAATCTTCCCCAGCAAGATACTAAGTCTTTAAAATCTTAGTATCAAAATTCATCGCTTTTGATGATAAACTCATTTAGCAAGTTTCCCCAGCGAGACGCTAATTCCTAAAATCTTGTGCAAGTCACAAGTACACATTCTTGTCACGTTAATATCACACCTCTGACAACCCACTTATCAATCCTCTTCAATAGGATGATAAGTCCACAAAGTTGCTCCGATCGCAACACAATCCTGTCTCCAATCGCAACACATTCTTGTCACGTTAACATCATACCTCTGACAACCTACTTATCAATCCTCTTCAATCGGATGATAAGTCCTCAAAATTGCCCCGATCGCAACATCTTTCTATCACGTTAATATCAAACCTCTGACAAATTTACTTATCAATCCTCATCAATAGGATGATAAGTCCACAAAGTTGCTCCGATCGCAACATTCTCTTGTCACGTTAATATCAAACACCTCTGACAAAATCCACTTATCGACTCTCCCCAATAGAGCGATAAGTCTTCAAAATTGCCCCGATCGCAATATTCTTCTTGTCACGTTAATATCACACCTCTGACAAAATTAATTTATCCACTCTCGTCAACAGAGCGATAGGTCCTCAAAGTTGCTCCGATCGCAACACTTTCCACTTATCGACTCTCGTCAACAGAGCGATAGGTCTATAAATACTGTTAGGTTAACATCACACCTCTAACAGTCAAACCCCCTCAATGAACTTGTTAATCCTTTTTCAACAAGAATAACAAGTTGTCATTATAAAATCCCCAGCGGATTAGAGATTTTCTGAAATTATCCCAGTGATAATAAAGAAAGTTTCTGAATTTCATTCTAAGTGAAAATTCACGCCAAGTTAATACTACACCTCTGGTACTTCTAATTTTCTTTCAGTGTTTTAAGTAAAAATATAACACAGGAAGAAACAGCGACAAAGTCTACGTATTCAACATCGTAGCACCAAAATCCATGCCTTTTACGCATGGGGGACTTTATCTCGATCCCTAATTAGAGATAAGTCTACGCCTAACACGCGTTGCCGGTTACGGACTTAGACAATCCA